CGATTAAGCAACCTATCAGAGTTTTTCAGAGTTAGTCGGGGTCAAACGCTACACATGATTTCAGAGAAAAACAAAAGCGTCTCCGCCAAGAAGCTTTGAACGGTAAAAAATATAATAGTCGAGAAGTTGACAATGCATGCTCTGAAAGTGGCAGGTATAAAACTGCCTGTGCATTGGATGGTAAACTTCGTCCTACAGGAACAAAGGGTCGACGTATGTAAGCCTTCGGATGACGGAACGCTTCCCCACAGATAGAAAGCGATTTTGGCATCAGCAAGGTGAGACTCAGGCATCTGTAATGCGCAGGCTCTTCATAAACCAGTGTGGCGACCACCAAAGAAGTGCCAGAGCTTCTCACCTCAGTACATCCCCATCCCTTGCTCCCGTATTCAGAAGAGATAGTGTTGGAACGCTTCTCCAAAACTGACCCAGTTTTTCACCGGGATTTCTGCTGTTCCCTAATATGCTCACGTTGAACTGCCGTCTGAATGGCTCCAAAGGATATAAGGGTAAAACCGGATGTTTCAAATGCTGAGCTTTCGGTTGAAGATTAACAAATTTTCTGATTGGACTAGGAAGATAAGTGATGTAGTGGTTTTGTTTCACGAATATATGTATTACACCTAGTCTGATTGTCTGAAACCCACTGCTTCCCCAAATACTTGCTATGAAATTTAGATTCAAATTGAGCTACGGGAGGCTAACTTTCCTGATGTCCTCGCTCACCATTGCATTTCGCGCCCGAAGAATGACTGCTTTTCAAACAAACACTTCAGCAACTCTCTTCCAGCTACGAATTCGAGCTTTTCCCGTTTATGTGACTTTGAAGCTCTCAAAGCCTTCTGATTGGCATTCCACCACAACAGGTCCCGTGGTGCTTTCACACCGTTCACCTGGAGGAGAGTGTGTATTTGGTGTACTTATGCACCACCAGATATCGCGTAGGTGACCACAAGGCCTACTGGATTCCGGCAATACCAGCGAAACATAATTCGTCGATCAAGCGGCAATTAGGGTTCCACCGCGACAGAGTGAACGCCTTGTGCCGACTTTCTACTCCATCCGCAACCCATCCGGGAAGTATGTACCTCAAACCTCGGCTTCCACTGAGCTACATAACTATGAAATTGCATCTTATTTGACGAAATCGGACTGGGACCTGGTTTACCGGAGGCCGACTACAGGGCCGTTGTCCAGGAAACTCACAAGTTCAATGCAATGTTCACTCCAAAGGGACAGACGTGCCGTGGAACAAACCGGAAGCCACTCGCGGGAATTTGACCTCCTGGAAACGAGATTCAGACCAATCGCGAAACCATTAAATAATAATAATAATAATAATAATAATAATAATATTTATTCCCAACTAGTGGGTAGCATACCGTCGGGCCTGATCATAGTATTACAGTCGGAATGAAGGCGTGACTGGTGGGGTTTGTGTTTAATGGGAAAAGGGAAAGTGACGTTAACAGTAAACCTTATTGGAATAGAGTTTATCACACCT